GTAATCAAAATGGTGAATAAATACACTTACATTGTTAATTTACCATACCCATTTTTCCAAACTTCAATTTTAGCATAACTGAAAATGATTCCTTCCTAGAAATCTCAAACCACAGCTCCAATCTGAATTCTGAGAATACCCTGCAACTGTGCCTGCTCCCTGGGGAGCCAGGTAAATCTTTTAAAATAGGAAAATAAAAAATGATGAATAACAACTAATATTTATAAATTAATAGTTACAAGCTTCCATTGCAGATATCTGAAGAGAGATCAGTTTTTCCCAGGCTTTGTGTAAACAAACTTGGACAGGATCAAATTAAAAGGGAAAGATGAGTGCCTGTGAATATTTATAAAATAAACATTTCTCAGAGAAAATACTTTCTGTAAAGATTTCTGAAATAGCTTAGAGCTTCAGATGCAAAGCTCCTCATACTGTCAGTGGATAGTGTAAACCCACATCCAACTGGCAGCAAGGAAAAACTTCAGTCTTCCTGACTAAATGTAAAGGGACTAAAATTCCAACTAAAGCATACAAAGCACAAGGTTCAAGATCCAGCCCCCCCAAAACAGCAATAGCTTTAACTTAAAAAGGGCACAGGAGCTGGCTGTGGAACTCAACCCCCCATCAACTCTTAAGGTAAATTAGTTAGTTTGTTTCTAAGACCAGAACTAGACACTGAACAGAATATTGTGCATAAGACCTCAAGAAGCACAGACACAAAAAGGATTAACCCGCAGTGAGATCAGCCATGCCTATGATCAGGCAAGGGACTGAGGAATTCCCATGGGATTAGGTCAATTCTTTTTGATTGCAGCCTGTAAAAAACATCAGTGAAACTTCAAAGTACAGACAAAGCTTATAATAGATGTATTGGAAGATAATCAGAGTAAGTAGAAGGGAAAACACAGTCTGCACGTATGGACTGTTTCTGGAAATGAAAACCAGAACACTTCCTACCCGGCTCTTGCAATGACTTTTTGTGGTCTGGAAATCGTGCAGTCACTAGAACTGGCTAACAGCACAAGACTGGGTTAGGAACTGGAATAAATAAGTAAGGCTAAGAAATCAATATTAAATAATGATAACTAATAAATTACAGAATCCTCAAAAATAAGGCTAAAAAAAGACAACAGGTCATTCTCCAATGCTTCATCCTTCTTGCTTTTCTCAGATCCTTTTGAGAAGCACAAGGCGGGAGCACAAAGCCAGCAGCTGCAGGATCCCCCACCAGTTCTCTGCTAACGCGAGTGCTGCAGCCTGCACCGCCCTCCCTGGGGGCAACGTGCAGCAGGCAGCACAGGACACGGCTGCACCGCACCCCCCCAGAGACATGGCCATCTTCATGCTGTTGGAGTGAATGCTTTTTCTACCTCTGGATCACTGCAGATGCCTATGAAAATAGCATAACTAATTAAGCGGGTTAATATAAATCAACGCGCACAGACACACAAATTTGTTCAAACTATGTCAATTTTCTAAACCAGCACCACTAAAAATCTCACTCACTGCTACGACCTCTGGACACTGACGTGGCGTTAGCGACCTGCAGCAGGAAGCATACAGCCTAATCGCATTTCCTGAATTAAGCAGCACCATGCTACAGGGCCAGCACAGGCAGCAGAAGTGACTTCAGTTAACAGTTTACCTTTTAGTGATTCCACAGCTTTTTAACTGTAACACGAAGCGACAGGTCTGTGTGCTCTGTGTGTATCCTTCTTGTAAAGGATCAAATGCATCAGGTGCTGCAGGCACCCCGAGCAGGGAGTGCGCTGGGTTTGTTTGTGGGCTCCAGCATGCTCAGGCCGGGCTCATTTCCAGCACGCTGCTGTTCTTCCTCACGAGCTTTCTCAGAGAAACTTTGGGCAATTAATCTTCCACGAACCTATGCTCCTTCAAACCTGCTTTTATTAGGACACTACATCTCATCTCCCTTTTCTATCTCTCCTTCTCTTCAGTCTGCAAAGTGGCTGTGAGAAAGATTAACTAAAAGTCCCTTAAAATGCCGGTGACAGCCAGCTCCATATCTCCCCACCGGCACAGCGCAGGTGAAAGCTGCAGCCAGCACCAGGCGACCACTGAGGCAAGTCCTTGGCTTCACCTGCACAGTAAGATCAGTGGTGATAGAAACAACAGCACTGCACCAGCAAGAGTTTACTTGTCCTGCTGGAAAGAAATACTTGCTGGGGGGCTGCTGCCTGCAGGGGCATGGGGCTTCGTGGGGCGCAGGGGGAAAGCATTTGGGGATTGTGCAACATGGAATCAAGTTATTTTTGGGAGAAAGGAGCATGGGAGAAAGGAGCAATAGAGCATAAAAGGGTCCTGACACATGCCTGGGGTGGCAGCAGCTTAAGTGCGTGCACACAGCTCTGCGTATTCAGTAGCGATGGTCCCACTGGCTGCTGAGCAGGGCTAAGGGATGGGGGAGCCAAGCACTGGAGCAGCCACTCCAGACCAGATGCTTGGAGAACTGGGGGCTCAGGGGGCTGAGGGTGAGCACTGGGGGGGCCCTGAGCCTGGCCCAGGGGCTCACGTTGGGACGCAGTGCCTGAGGTCTGTGCTGCGAAGGCGCCCAGCCATGCTGCGGGTTGCAAGTGGGAGCATGGAGCCACCTGGCCTCTGCCTACCGGGTTCGGCAGCTCCTAACACAGACACTTTACAAGAGCTGAAATAAAGGTGAGTTTATGAGCTAAAAGCACATCAGCACACTCTGTGAGGAACATATTTTCCCCTGTAACTACAGTACTTTCCGTTAAATTTCCTGGTACTTTCTGTGCTTTCAAACCAGGTAGTAGAACAGAAGTGATACAGAATTTTAATGTGAGAAAAATACATTCGAACGTCCTGTAGGACAAACCACTGTATATTTGCAACAAGTATGTGCAAAGGGAACTGAAATTCTGTTTTCCTCAGTAAGTTCTCACACTGAGCATCCATGCCCTTGCTATGCGGAAATTCAGCATGTTAGAACACTTTTACCACGCCACTTGCAGCTACACAGAAAATTCATCTGTAATTGCTATTTTTCCTCCTACTGTAAGTTATTACAAGTTCTGTTTGTGGAACAGAAAGCTGGAAGTACCCTAATAAGAACATCTATATTTATTTCTGTCATCAAGCATTTATAGTCTGAAACTACTGAAGATGAGGAACTTTTATCTCATTAAGATAATCATCCATTTCCTGGTAAGGTATGCTGTCTTCTCCCCAGTTAGCTAGCTTAATTGGCAAATGAAGCAAAGTACATGGTCAATAAACGCTAGGGAAAGACTCCCTTTTTTAACAAAGTGAGTAATGGAGAGAAATGAGGAGAAAGTGACTTTTTTTAGATACTTAGGGACTCCAGATAGGCTGAATAGGAGAGGTGGCTTTTAACTTATTTAATGTTTGGCCCAAATTGATCTTTCACCCAACATACATCTGAGAAATGCATTAAAGTTCTTTTTACAATGCTTGCAGGAGTTTCATAGTCTGCCCTTTTTCACCAGCAAAGCAAATGTCAGCACTGTGAAGCTCTGGAAGCTCGTGCTGAATGTCAGAAACAATGAGATCTGTAACTTAGAAGCCTTGAACTTTTAGACCGTAGCAGCCTTAATGCCTGGCAACTGCACACTGGGTTATAACTTGGAAAATGTCAGAAAAGGATGAATTAGGATTCCTTGTAATGCAAGTACTGAAGAAGTCTGTCCAAAAGTGACATATAAAGCCTCAGGGCAAGTAAAGCCAGCCACACGCAGTCATTGCCAACTACTTCACAACAAGACACTCATACCTGCTGTAATGGAAGTCACAGGTCTACCAACTTGAAATGGCAGCCATGGGAGATGGGAAAATGGTTTTATTAAAAAATAAAAAAATAAAAAAATGGAAACTTTGTCAGGGAGAGCTAATAATGAGCCTAGTGATATATCGACTATTAACTAAACTATACATGCACACAATGGGGTACCAAGAACTAGCAGATTAAAACCAGGTTCAGTCAACATTTACTTTTGCTCACAAACATAGTTCATCACAGCACACTGCAAGGGAGTGAACATTTGCCTTTTCATGAAAGGGATGATCAATCATATCCAAAACATCAAACAGAAATTCCTACTTCAGCTCAATTTATAAACTCGTGTTTATCAGAGGGAGAGGGGATTCTGCTCTTTGTTTTAGTCCCTGGGCATGTGCTCCCTGGTTGCTTGGGCATTATAAATTAAAAAGTTGATCCTAGCTCCTTTTGCATTCCACCAAGAGAAGCCTCCAAGGTGAGCAGGCAGAACTGACACTTTAAGTTGTCTCAATTTACAGCAGCAATACATAACTGTGACTGTGTTGCATCTAAAGCATGAAAACTACGCATATGAAACTGCACTGGTTTATCTTGAGAACGGGCATGTATCTCTGCTGCCAGACAATCATTATGTACATTGTTTCTGCAGACCAAAATTGTGTGCTAGAGCAAAAACACCATTGCCCGGTGCAGGTGCACACAGAAAAAGCAGATAACTGTGCAATCTTAGACCACCCTGAGATGCTTTTTAGAGCCTGTGAAGAGAGCAGCATGTAAATTCCACAGGGGCAAGCAGCTGTTGCTCACTTCAATTTCCACTACAGATGTCAGACTGCAGGCTTGCTTGGTACCTCATGCCAGTGTTCAGCCTTTGGTTCATAACCACCAATTCTTAGGAGACAGAAAATCTCACACTTGTTGCCCGCTTAACTGACAGTTGGAGAGGGAATGGCTAACAATCCTTCCCTTCTTTCATTAAGAGCAGGACCAGGACCTGCAATAGGTGTGCAGATACTAGAACAGACAAAAACAGGCAATGCTAAGAAAGGTTTTTGCTAGAAGAAGCTGCCCGACCAACAGAACTAATAGGAGTTTCAAAGCAAGGAAAAACTACCTTTTTTTTTTTTTTTTTTGTAAAAAAGGAATTATTTTTTTTTTATTTCTCTCTCTGTCTCTCTCTCTCTCTCTGTAAAGTGACTCCCGCTGCCGGAAGGAAGCTCCTTACCTGCCGAGGGGCCCTCTCCGACCTGCTCCGGCACCACTCCCAGCCCGGGGGCTCGGTGCCTGCCCCCTCCGCCTGCGGCAGGCGCCGGGCCGGGCCGGGCGCTCGGGAGCTGTCCGGAGCCGCGGTGCTGAAAGGCGGCTGCGGGGCGCCGGGCGCGCTCCCTTGGCTACCCAGGCTGGGGCAGGAGGCGGATTTGCCGTCGCCGTCGGGGTGGTGGTTTTCGGGGGATATCCGGTAGATTCCGTAGCCTTGCTGGAATGAGAGGTTGAATTCGAAACCCCTGCGCCTGGCTGAAGAGAGAGGGGTACAACGTCATGTGAAAAAGTCAAAGGCAAGAAGAGAAGCGATGGAACGACATTCTAAAGCATAGAACGAGTTTTTAGTTACCATTAGACAATTTTCTATCCGTAAAAAGAATGAACTGTTGAGAAGAGATTTCTCAGAGAGTGTGTTGTTGTGCTACCTTCTCAATGAACTCAGAAGTGATACACTCCAAAGTTCAAGGTTTCCAAGAAACCGGCAGATTACCTGCCATTCTCAAAACCACACAATGCATGTTGCTTTATGGGCTACACACAAGAAAATACTTATGTTTTGTAATATTTTTTCTGCCTCAAGGCCTGTTTTGGCCATATTCTCAAAGGTGAAAAATTGTACAAAATGATAAAACATTTCTGAGAATTCATAATTAACCTTCAATGCCAACAGTCAAGCAAGACAAACAGGTTTCTCTAAGTTGGAGTATTTACACAATGAAACGTTTCTGTATTCTCCATTCTAAATTCAGTGCTCCAAGTAATCTAAAACAGTAATCGAACAACTGTTCAATTTAAGTAAATACACATTCTCGATCAATATTTATATCCTTTCGTTCTTTCTCTTTTCAATAACAAATCACCTGAGATTCCTCACCCCCCACTTTCTGACCTTGCATTATGTAGTAACTGGAGAAGTGTCTTATTGAACTAATGAAAATGTCTTCCCACCAAGCCTATCGTGCTACATTCTAAACGAAAAGGTTAAGTGGTACATTTATAAAATTTGTATTTCTACTCAATAGCTTGCGTGCTTACTACATCATATTTAATTATGGGTGAAATCCTGACCTTAGCAGTCATTGTATTAAAACTCAATGATATTAGTCGCAAACATCTGAGACACAGAGAAAAACAGGCCTTTAGAAGATTCCAAAAAGGTTATCAGTGAAGGTTTGGCAGCCTGTTACCTTCAGTTAAAATTTATAAATGTGCAGTTTTAGGCTAAAAAGCATGTGGTAGGTCCTCAGCTTTGAACCAGCTCCATGCACGCTCTGGGACACATGCCACTCCCACAGCCCCTGTCCTCTGCTGTTTGCTTTCTGGTGGCACTGTGATTTCCAGCCACAGCTATAGGGCAGGTGTACAAACAATAGCTCTTCTCCTTATAATTTGCTCGTAATTAACATGTTGGTTTTTCCCCATGACATTAAACATGTTTAGCATGGTCCTTGTATTTCATTAGTGAAAGTCAGATTATGACAGATAAATCTTTCCCAGGTAAGAGAGAAAGCAGAAACTAGGATTCAGAGTCCTTTAGTTCTGCTAACGTATCTGCCAGTGGCTTGGGAAAATCACCAAGACTCTGTGCCTCAGTATCCATTAGTACCAATTAACTTAGTTTTCTCCAGCTGTCTTGCAAGAATGCTGTGAGGTTCATATATTGTTCTAAAAAAAATGTGTATGTAATTCAGGTAAATGATTTCAAGGAGTACCAACAACTGGTACTGACACTAACTTCCTGCCCTGCTTACTAAGAGATACATCGCACCCACGTGTCATCCTCCCATCCTTACTTTTGAATTCTTCTGAAGACAAAGCATACGAATTCCTTCTGCAGTTTATGATGCAGCCACAGGGGAGATGGATCCAGTGTTCTGACAGGACAAATACTGGGGTGACGGTGGCAGCCAGCAAAGTCAGCAGGAAGCTAAGAGTCTCAAATGAAAGGCTTTGAAAGCCAGTGATGTGCTGGACAACCATTTGTATCTGAAAGACAGAACATTTTGAAATGTAAATAGCTTCGGGCACGTGAATTCCATGAATTCACAAAATATCCCCCTGTGAATGTGACACAAGTAAAAGCCCAAAGTTTTCATGTATGTTTGTATGTTCAGCCCAACAATTTCATTTCTAATAGAGAGCAGGGAAAACATACTGACAGAAACTCTCCTCCTCGTTCTGCATTTCTCACAAAATCCCTTGCTTAAGCAAAATGTTAAATACAGATGCTGAGCACTGTTAAAACAAACTACTCACAATCCAAGCATATTAGGTGAGATGCTAGCTAGATCTCTCTTGCCTGGTACTGAGGAACTCCAAATCCTGATGGGGAACAGGAGAACTTAGCACCACACAGGACGGTGCTGCAGATACTCTGTGATGCTCTCTTTCAGTTGAGGGGAGCTCAGATGCAGAGTCTGAACATATCCCAGCTGCAGAGAAAACACTGACCCAGAGCCACACTCCATGTCCTCAACCTCCTCCTTCCTAACTGCACGTGAATGTGCCTCTTCCCAAATACACTGCTGCATGCACACGGATAGCATCCCCACCAAATGCTCTTTGTACACAGATTACAAAGATGCAAACAAACCTCATTTTTCTAACAAACTTATTTTTCATCAAGCCTAGCAAAGGACGTGACTCACTGCTGTTGACAAGAGGCAGAAAAGCTAGCTTACTAACATTCAGACCCCACAATGCTGAAGAAATGCTTGTCAGGCATCTGGAAACACAAAAAGGTGGACCTTATTCATCCCTGGATTCAGCTGACACAAATGATGTGATGATAGAGTAACACACTGATGAATCAGGTTCTGCCAAAGCTGCTGAAACCCAGTTATGTTCACGTAGTGTGACACAGACCTGTTTAAAAGGACTTTTGCTGACACAAACTACACTATAAGAAACAACGGCAATGGCAGTTCGCTTCACAACACAATAACTCATGACCCATTTAAATGTAAGCAAACGTTAAAGCGATCTGATAATTTACCATCATTGGAAGCCAGAGAATGACTTTTGTCAATGCGAGAATCAGTGAGAATCGCTTCTGGGCGAAGCCCACTGTGAAGCTCCTGCTCTGGGCACTGCTCCCACAGCGGGGCTCGAGGCCGCTGCTCTCAGCCACACCTTTCCTCAAAACTGCCTCCGAGCTGGGACATGTATTTTGGAAATGCTTCAGGGTTTTATCCACGGGGTCCACCGGTGACAGCGATGGGGTGGCAGTACTGCAGCCCGCGGGTGTCCCAGGGGTGATGTAGCCTCGAGAGATTTCCTGGTAATCGATGTGCAACAGCTGTTGCTCGTCTGAGCACAACAGCTGGTAAGTCAGAGGGACAGACAGCACTGTGAGGAGGCAAAAGCACAGTGAGTAGACAATAAATAAGAACAAGATGTAGGAGCTGGCACAGTCAGTGAAGCAGCCCCAGGAGGTGGGGACATACTTGCCCCAACCACAGAGAGGCAAAATGCAGATCAGCAAACTGACAATCCAAATGCTGAGAATTGCCCACACCATGCTCACTCGCCGTTTGGAAGTGCCGCAGCTGATTGTCTCAGTTTTATTGATGCTGTAGAAGTTGTAAGAAACTATAAGAGACCCTTTGAGATTGCTAGAAATGCCCTGGAATAAATATATAAGTGCTGAGGTGGTGCACAGAGGCTGGGGAAGGATGTCACTTGACCACTGGGTGAGCATGAAAATAATCACTGGCACGATGCTGATCAAATCGTCTATTGACAAAGAGGTCACAATCATTGAAATTGTGGTTTTATTCTGCATTTTCAGCAGAGAAACTAGAGAATAAATGCTGCCCAGAAGCACCGTGAATGCAATGACAAAAGTCAAGCAGAATAGAAAGACATTCAAAGTTCTCTGTTCACCAGGTTTATCCATAATGCTATGATTTTCAGCAAAGAAGCTTGTCCCATTGAGTGACAAATTACTAGGCGTTACCGACATTGTCCTTGGAAAATCTTTTTCCTCGCCTTCTCACTGACTCTGCAAGTTTTCACGAGCTGAAACCATAACTGTTAGCTCCACATCACAAGTTTCTTTGTTTTCCTTTATCTTTTGTGGCATCCGATGAAGAAACATCCAGGTCTAAGCGTCCCCGATAACCAGAACAACACATGCTCTTGAAAAATCAGGCAACGGTGAAGTACCAAAGGTGCTGGAAAAAATGCAATTCTTCATAACCCTTTCAGTACTGGAAGATGGCTAATTTAGTCTCCTCAGGTAATAACAAGCCGTTCACTTCTGACAGATATCAGGCAACGTGCCTTACTCACGAGTCCAGCTGCAACGAAGGCAGTGCCAGGTATCTTCAAGCTCTAGTGGCTCGGGGAGAACATAGTGGAAATGGGAGGCTGTTGGATTCACCCTGCGCTGGTCGGAGCTGCAGGAGGGAGGAGTCAGATGCAAGCAGGATAGCAGGGAAGAGGGGAGTGAGTATCTTCCCACCCCGAGCTGCCTCTTGGCTGATCAGAAGGCTGAGACAGTGTCCCCGCCAAGCCACACCTCCGATGCTGACACTGAAATCCAATGCAAATACTCAGATCTGATGTCAGCCGTAAATGTCATTCCCGTAAAGCCCATGGCTGCTCCACAGCTGTGCATCACGAGCTGGAGTGCTGCTTTCAGCCTTCTGCACTTCTGTGCTCCGAGCTTAGCACGGGGAAAAGCTGCAGGAGCCTTATAGGAAGAAGAAAGAGAAGGGGTGTGTCTGCTCTGCCTCTTGTGCTCCTGCTCCCTCTGCACACGTGTGTGCACACAGCGTACAGACACTAACTGTGCAGTCACTCGGTGGCAGCCTGTTAGTAATGGCAGGGAACAGCCACGCACATCAGCAAGGTGTTCCCTGCCTCTGTGGTGTCTGCTCAGCCTGGGGCTTATAAAACTTTCATTCCCCGTGTGGTTCAAATCCAAATGCTCACTGTCTGCTCTAACGAAATACATGGGTAGAACCACGGCCAAGTGCATTTTGGTATGTTCGGCGCGTTTTCTCTTGAGAAAGAGGAATACTGCTGAAGCTTACAAGCTGACAACATTTTCAGCACTCGGATGTCAAGCAGATGGGTAAGTTCAATGCAGTCTTCTTGGAGAACTCTGCCTCTCCTTTCTTTTCAGCACCACTTTGCATTCAAATGCTTGACAGGGATGCAGGACGAATATTTTCTGATTAAGGATTATATTGTAAGGCTGCTCCAGTTACGTACTAATCTGTAACATTACAAATCCACTTGGTCAGAAACCTGTTATAACAACAGATCCTCGCCCAGTTCTACCCACCCAAACCAGCATGGCTTGGGCCTCTTCCCCCCATCAGGGCAGCACAGGGCTGGAGGCAGCAACTCTCAGGGGTGCTGAGCCCCCAGCAAGACCAGCAACAAACACAAAGGCACAGCCCCAGCTCTACCATGACGAGTCCACAATGCAGGGATCAGAGCTAAGGACAATGACAACTTCTCTGAACAACCCCTCCTTCCCTTCCCATTCCCATTCCCTGCCATGGCACTGGGAAGGCCAATGCCCCAGGATGAGCCAGGTCTTCAAGCTGTCCTCACCACAGGACCAACGTAAAAACGCACTCCCCCTATGCAGCCCGACCAGGAGCCACTGCCCTTCCATTCTCCCCTTCCCATCACAGCTGCCTCTGTCGGGGATCCCGCACTATTTACCAGGACTGACTGGCAACCCTTATGTCACGAATTTGCAGAATAGTGGCATCCATCCTGCCTTCCACACAGGGCACAGTCCTGGATCTGGACCATCCATCTGGCCTCTATCTGTACAGGATTTGAGTTGGCTTTTGTGATTTATCCGTCCTGCTGGACTATTGATTGTTAATCTGTGCTGTGCCAGCTAAAGGCCAGGGCTCATTTCCTTCTATTTACAAATCACAGTCACCTCTGCCCCCACAAGTCAACTTTAAATTGAGGACAGTGTTCTAAATCTTGAGATTAACAGCATGAGCCAGATCAGAAGAACAGTCACAAGAGATAAGAGAAAGAAGCATCATTCACCCTTGTTTGGACCCCTATTTTCCAGTCTGTCTTTCTCAGGAAACATGCGACCACCCTGTCTGAGTGTGGATATGTGCATGTGCATGTCTCTCTCCCACTCCTAATTCCTCAGTTCACTTGGACAAAATGATCATTTTCATCTCAATCTGATGGTGTCAGAACTTCCCACAATGTTTATGAAAATGAGCAGCTGATCAGAGGAGATAGATGCCAGTAGGCTCCCCAGCCAGGAGGCAGCGTGCAGTGGAGCCCACTCTTCACTGGACACTAGTGAACACAAAGCAGAGACTTTGTAAATATCCCAACCATAAGAAAAAGCATCGGCTGGGATTCGTGCCCTCCTGGCTATCAAAGTCAATCAATTAACCTAGATGTTAAACTGCAGAAAATAGGCTTCATTCACTCTGGCATGTCTTAGTGCTTCCTGACACACGATCAATTGCTTTATTTTTAAATTCCAAGCTTCCATTGCCTGTGTTGTCTTCATTTGCTCTTGCCACGTCACTGTGAGGTATTTAGAAACAATGCTAATAATACTTGGAAAATGCAATTTTCCTACTTTGGGAATTTTGCTCCTGTATCCCAAGCCATTATACCTGCATTGGATGTCCAGTAGCTCTGATTGCAGATATCAACCACAAATTTTCTGGAAGTTCCCTTAGTACAATCTTCTTTGCACACTTCTTTACTGACCTTGCTTTACAAGCTGTGCATACACAGCTTCTCTGCCTCTCTACATTTTTGGACTCTTTGGCATGAGCAGTTCATTCCATGCGTTCCCTGTGTATTTGGAGTGAAATGCTCATCAGTGTTTTTAAGAAGAAAGTCACTTTTATTTACCCCCATATCCACTCAAGGCAGGTGATGTATTACTCACCTCAGCTTCTCTTCCCACAGAATGTATTTAATTATATGAACTGCACCTTGCCATTCCCTGTGGCAGCTTTTACTGTAAGTTAGAATACGGTGAAATGTTCTTTCCTTTCTGGTCATTTCGTAGTTATAACCTGGAGGTCTTAGGAGCCATGAATTCACGCAGTTTCCCCTCTTACTTATTTTTTTTTAATGTAACTGATAAATTCCAATAAAATAAAACAAGTACAGAAAGATCAGTTTCAATCTTAAGACTAAAGAGAGAATGCAGCTGCAGTAAGGAGCACACAGCTCTGTGAGTGCCAGCGAGAGCAGCCTGATCTCCCACGGAGCTGTACCTCACGGTACTCGACGGGCACATCCAGCGGGGCTGAGCCCCAAAACTTCTCTTATGACCAGGGCACATGAATCTGCACTGGGTTCTCTGTTCTCTTCTAAAGAACAAGTTTATATTGCAATATTTCAGAGCTTACAGGAACACTAGCTTTCGGATTTCAATTTCAGTCTCAAATTTCACTGAAATCTGTGAACAGGCTCAAATGGCTGGAGGTGGTGACAGGGGAGCAAGCAGAAGGCAGACAGCGTCATCACAACCCCCCTTCTACCCTCACATTTTCTAAAGAAACAGTGCTAGAATGGAACATATAGCAGTGCCAAGAAAGCCACAGGTAGCAACCTTGCAGAAAACACAAGAAAACAAAGAAAATGACACTTTTCTCTGCTGTTAAGTCCCTGGTTTGGGCTGCACCAAGGAAGGCATGCGTTTGTAGACTGAGATCCTTCCTACATATTCCCTTCATTCTCTGCCTTTGGACTCCTGGATTATGGGAGGTTCCTAATACAAAACTGTCCTTTGCAATATGCATCTTGGTGTGAGTTCTCTTCTGTGCTAAATAATGACCACAAACAGAAAATATATAAGGCATGGAAATCTCTCTGGCCTCATTTCAAACATCACTGCACAACAAGGTCTTTAACAAGTCAGCACTACTCCACAGTCTATGAAATGATTTTTAAGAGACACACTGCATGTAGCAATTCAGGAATGTGTGTGAAATGAATCAAATATTCACCATTCATAAAATACAATCAACAAACAGGTTTTTAAAAATTTATCCTATTTAGTGTATAAGTCATTTTATTTTCATACCTTGCACTAAGCTAAGCTTTAACTTATGGGTTTGCCTCCTTTTCTCACTCATGAGAGACAAGGTTATTATAGCAGCTGTACAAATATTTCATTTCAGATAGTAATATATGCCTCTATGCCAGGCATAAAGGTATATACATAAAATTCCATAAATGTATTTGTAATTTATTCCTCAATAGCATTTGATAGATTTTTTTTTCCTCTAGACTTTTTAACAGACTTTTAAAAAGATGTCAAACTAAATGACCATTATTGGTCTACTGGATTCAGACACTTTCAGATACAAGATGGTTAAATGCTGCTAATTGTTTCATCTGGTTATTTGCCCCAGATGAACTCAGTCCATGCCGGCTTCTAAGAACAGGCAGATACTCTGATACTTAATCCATTTCCGCTGCAGCTGTATTGCTGTGCTGTAGGAAAAGGGTGCTTTCTGAATTGGAGCAATTAGAGCAGTGTAAATCAGGAATAATTCCATTAAACCTAAAAATATAATTTAACTTATGTGCTCATTATGGGTTAGCCTGCAACAGCTCGAACTCAAGTGAAACAGAAATCTGCTGTGTGGATGCTCATTTCAAAGCCAGGGGACTGCTGCTGCTCACAGTCCCTGCGAGAGGTAGCACCCTCTCGGAACAGACGTGCTAGTTCTAAGCACTGCCCACTGCCAGATCTCCAACTTTTCTTTTTTGCTGCTGTGCTGCAAATGTAGAGAGCAGATTGAGACTGCAGTGAACTGAGCGTTTCTGGAGAACTGCAGAATTAGTAAAGGACAAATGGAGCTGAAAAGTGAGTAAGCCCCAAAGTGTCCACTGGGCGAGGTATAATCATGACGTGTGTGTCTTTCCCTGACACATTCAGAAACCTATACACAGCATGCCAATGAAAAATGAAGCTGGTGCCAGCACTTCAGTGAGGCTGGCAGTAGACAAGATGGCTGAGATGAGAATGAATCTGTGCGGGCTGCTCTGTACGCACACTGCCAGCGATGATTTTGTGCTGTCCTTCAGGAAACGTCCAAAGTGGGATCAGCGAGAAGAGAAAGAAGCAGTTGTAAGATGATAATAATTCCAGGAAGGCAATGCTGAGAAGGAAGAGGCAGTAAGGAAGAGGCAAGCTGCAGCGTGTACCAGGAGGAGAAGGGTCTGTTACGCTAGGAAGGTGTTATTTCTCTAGTGGATGGCACAACAGAGAGGTGGTAGCAAAATCTGCAGCTCCCAAAGTGGAGAGAAGCTCGGTTCTGGGTAGTGTGGAGAGTAAGACATTCTGCTAGCCGTGGCGTAATGGCTCTCTGGAGACAAGACACTCCACAATGTCACTTTTATTGAGCAGCCACTGGCTCAATGAATTGATAGGAGGAGACAGACAGCTAGCAGGGAAGCTGTTCTTCAGTACACCTCCTCGCAGTAACTGTTTGCTTTCTAATAGAGAGCACAGCAGGCTATGAATATAATTCATGGAACAGCATGATATGAATGCTTTTAATTTT